GGATATTCGGGTTTTTATCCCAAATCGTGAGTACTTCAATCTAGTTGAATTATATAGCTTAGATTGTGCGTAATAACATCAAAATCACGACAGAACATCAAGATCTGTGAGTTTACTCCCCAAGAACATCTTGGAGAGTAAACTCCTTTTTAAAAGCCAAATGATGCCTAGACTTTCCTTAAGCCATGAAACTAGTTTGGGCTTGTACAGAAATGAGTTAAGGGATAGAAAACAAACTCAAACAACAGGATTTGAGAGTTTACTCCCCAAGAACATTCTTGGAGAGTAAACTCCATTTTAAGGGCCAATAGTGTCCCAATGTCCCTCAAAGCCTTGGAAATGAACCTTGAGACTACCCATGACATGTTTAGACATCCAAAACAAATAAAGTCAAGGGTTGAAAGTGAGTTCACGGCCAAGGAAGTTCTTGGGCCGTGAACTCCATTTTAGGGTGTCAAAATGCCCTAAATGCCACCCTTAAGCCAAGAGACTAGCATAGCTTTTTACCTTGATGTGTCTACGACTCAAAACAACCAAAATACCAACACCCACAAGTGTTCACGGCCGCAAACACATGACTAAATGGTCTATGGGCCGAAAACTCATGTTAGGGGTGTTTTGTTGCCACAAACACTTCCTAAGGCTTAGGCATGAATTTAGAATGCTTCCTTATGACCCTTAAGACCCTCATAAACATATTTGGACATGAGTTTACAGTTGTAAACTCATTTGGGCCGTGAACACCCCAAAAGTGCCAAAAGAAGTGGTCTTTCTCATCCCAGGCTAAAGCTAATGTCCCTAAATCATTCCCTAGCTTTCATACTTACACAAACCCATGAGTGACCATGAGTTTACGGCCGTAAACTCCCTTGGGCCATGAACTCATGGTAGTAAACTCAAATGCGTGCCTTTATACCATCCTATGTTGAATCACATGTGATTCCAACACTTGGTCAAGGTGTTACCTAGTCCCGGAAGATGTTTCCTTTCATATAGTTGTTATAAACACTATATTCATGTCCATATGTGTCCTTATATGTCATTTAGGACTTATTGTGTCTCGGGACTTCATTCGTGGAACTTCTCATCCATACACGCATACCCGCTAGAACCACTCACAACAGGTGAGTTCATACCCCTTAATCAATATTTTAAATGATTTTAAACGCTTTAATCGGGGGGGAATACAAGTAAAAAACAGTATGTTATTAAATCAATCTTATGTATTTTATAACTGTGTTTTCACTCAGTACATTTCACATATTTCAAAAGGTGACACATGAAATGGTTTTCTATCTTAAAATACCTTGATAACAAAAGTATTAGTTTTGAAATGTTTATTAAAATGACATCAAGTCACTCTTAATTATTGTTCAAAACTCCTAGATATCTTGCAAAACCATTATTTTTACCTTCTTTAACCAAACTATACTTATACGCATGTGTTCATATATATGTTAGAGATTATAGTTTTCACCCTTCATTTAGTTTCCAACACTCTTGGGTAGCAAGAGTGTATAAACCTACTTAAAAAACCAATTACCTTTCAGTTAACTATCATAGGGATAGTTAGAAGATATCAAACATTATTACTATTACAAGGAATCACACAAGAGTCAGTTCATTCGTGAGTCTATACTAGTACATTACCTGATACATGAGTACATATACATATGCTTATCTGATACATGAATATGTTTACATATACTTACCTGATACATGAACACTATTACATAGTTGCATTATCCTGTATTTACTTACCTGGATACTTGTACTTAGAACTACGAGGATGATTTATTAGTACTTTCTGTGTAAATTATCTTTCCTATCCCGGTTCAATGGGATGTCTCGGCGGGACTTACCATTCCGAACCCCACTGATTAGCACCAGTGGTCAATGAACGTCTACGGATGTCTAAGGTTGTTACTTGGATTAGAAGTCAGTAACGGGACTAACCATCCCTCCATCCTACTGTTGCAACAGTGGATGATATTAGAATCTTCGGAGGATCATTAGGTTAACGTTTGTATTAGGAGTCGGCCACGGGACTAACCCTCCCTCCACCCTGCTGCCACTACAGAGGATGAGGGGACAATCTTCGGATGTTCATAGGGTCTACCTTTCGCTTCGGCGATGTCGTGTTTGTCCTGGTAACCCAAGATATTAACACTTACATGATTATATTTTTCCTGTTTACTTTATTTTGTGATACTTTCACATAAATGAGGAGTTAGACTAAGTACTCTAGTACTAGTCAATAGAAAGGAAAAACTATCATCTTACTTACAGAACATTCTGGTCTTGGTAGAAGACTATCTTATACTTTTTCCTGTTTACTTTATTTTGTAATTCTTTCACATAAATGAGGAGTTAAACTAAGTACTATAGTACTAGTCAATAGAAAGGAAAAACTATCATTTTACTTATAGAACATTCGGGTCTTGGTAGAAGACTACATTACATACTGATAGAAAATAAGGGATTTTCTAGGATTTTCAAACTCATATCAATTGTTACATTTAAAGATTTGACAGACAATCATGACAGTTTTCCAAACAAGACAATGACACTTAAATATTTATGAATTCACCAGCTTTAAAGTTGATACTCTCTTTCAAAATAACTTGTATTCTCATGTCATCAGTAGACAGGTACGGTGGCCAGGTTTTGAGAAGACGGAGCAGACAAGTCTCGTCTTTTATTTTGATTATATATTTTGATGTCTTAGTACAATGAAATAACACATGTATTAAAACTTTACTTATAATGCAATGGATGATGTTGTTTCTTGTTTACTATTTTACACTGTTGTGATACTGTACATGATGTCCTCCACCCCGGAACGTTTCCGCCGTTCTTGGTTTTGGGGTGTGACAATGTCTTCCCATTTACCCATGGGTACATGTAAAGGTTATAAACTCCCATATGGTTTCTGATGTTGTTCCTTAACTCTTCCACATGTTACAAACTCGGCCACATACTTTGCAACATCGAGCTTCATCGTCGTCCACCAATAGTAGGGTTTCAGATCCCTATACATTTTAGTGCTACCGGGATGAATCGAGTACATGGTCTTGTGAGCTTCCTCCATCAAAAGATCTCTTATTCATCCTGTCTTAGTGTTAGTCCCCAAATATGGATCCAAATCAGTAATCAATGAAGCAAATAGCAATCAAAATGGAGTGTTGAAGGAGTATAAAAAAGAGATAACATCAAGCATGCACACATCTATATCATAAATATCAGGTACACCTTGAAAAGTACACACATGTCACTATTCAGCAAAAAAAAGTACATCTGACACATGACAGCCCCCTTTAAATACTACCCTCACCAGCACACGAGGGTGCACCCGTACATGCATGTGTGGTCGCACACACTGTGTGTGGCCGCACACATGTGTGTAGCTACACACACGAGTGAGGCTGCACACATACACCAAGCCTATACCATAACACCACTACACTTCATACACTGCCACCTTAATAAGATCTATACAAGAATAATGCCTAGCTCAAACCACAATATTATAGTCTTTCAATCTCCCCCTTGGTTTGAGGCTATCATAGACTTGATCTTCATTCTGTTGGCTTCTCAAACAGCTTCAAATCTGATCTTCCCATGGAGCCCATCCACATTCTTCCATTTATGATTGTGGCGACCATTCCAGTAAACTCTTTAGCAGCCGCCTCCATAACATCTTTTATGCATATAATCTGGTGACGAGACAGAGTGTGGATATCCTTTTCTCTAAACCTATGAAGATCTTTAGCACTTATCAACCTCAAGACTTGTTCTCGACCCTTGAAATTTATTACAGCAGTGGCAGTTTCATCGTCGTAAGCCCATAATTCCATTTTATCAAGGTATCCCTCACGGAAGTGTTTAGGGATAGGAATTTCCTTTTGTTGTTTAGTCGCAGGACAAAGAATAATCTTCATAGGCTCGCCTGATTCAAGATCTAGAATTTCTTTGTCTTTTCGGTACAAGGCTCTTGCATTCTTCATTTTTGGAAAGTTTTCCTTGACCTGTCTATCAAGAAATCTTTTGAAGTTTGAAGCATTGGGATCTTCAGAGGGATTATGGAATGGGGATCTGGATAGTTCAGCAAGATCAACTTTGGTCCACGAGTTAAAGTTATGAGTGTTCTTGTAGAACTCAGAGGTTCCTGAGTTCCTTTTCACAACCCATAAATTTGACTCGGGATCAAAGGCCCACATTCGGATTCCTGATCTATCCCCAAACTCGTCACCAAATTTTCTTTTTTTGAGATCAATCACTGTTAGAACATGGTCTTTGGCTTTGTGATTCACGTTTGAATTTTTCATGAATAGTAAACCTTCGCTTTTGTTAGCCATTACAGTCCTCTTTCCCTGTTTAATTGTAATTCGGGCTTTGCTGCCTTCTGGCTCCTTTTCAAATCTATTGACAATTGTAGTTGTTCTAGGATCAGGTGGATCAACCGGAAGGTCGTCAGAGACAGACTGTGTGGGGGCCGTGGGATGATCCTCGATTCCATGTGGCTGCTGAAATAGGGCTTTGACTTTGTCTCCAAATGCATCAAATGGAACGTTCTTTAAATTAAAGTAGATAGTTGTCACTAAACCAAGATTCTTCTGTAGATCCTTAATCTGCTTTGACTTCTCCTCATCCTTTGCTTTAAGAACTTCAATGTGAGAAGTGAGTTGATCCATCTAAATGGTCTTCTTAATAAGTTCCTGTCGGAGAACACCAATCTCTTCTCGAAGTTCTGACACAGAAGATTTGTCATCACCTGAGTGCTCTTCTCTGAAAGATATTCCTTTGCCATGAGAAGAAGAGGTTGGACTGTGTTAGGTCAGGTGCTTTGCCAGTCTGATTGAAGCTTCATCCATTGAAGGTCTGGTAGGAGAATATTCTGAGATAGAGGATGAGCTGCCTGTCTCAAACATAGTGCTAGGGCCTTCATCAGTTTGTATTGGTGGAATGAAAACAGTAGTAGCGATGACAGTAAAGAAGAGTTAAGGTGCACTGCTCACAATGGGTACCTCCAGACACGTAACAGATTGACTTCTTTCCAAGGAGGACTGGGAGGTTTGGGGCTGAGATGATTCAAAAACAAACGGAGCAGGTGTTGAGATAGTTGAAACAGAGGGAGGAATCTCTGAGTACACATCTCCTTGACTTGAAGCAACCTCCAAGGGCTTGGATGTGGAGAGCAAAATTTTGAGAACATTTCCTTCTTCCCCAGTCTTGGTTGCCGAAGAAGCAACTTCATTGACTTTATTAAAGTAGCTGCTGGCAAATCCTGGAAGAAGACCAAATTCTTCATCATCAAGATCAAGCTCAATATTTGTAGGGATATCATCACTGATCCCTGTGAAGTCTATCTCTTTCAAAAATTCTACATCTCCATAGAGATCTTCATCATGTTCCTCGTGAACAGATTGTGTTTCATCTCCCTTATGATGTAGACGATCATGTTCCTCAGCCACTATGGTTGTAGGAGAATCATGAACCTCCTCAATTTCTAGTTCAGAGGTTGAAAACACAACATCTTCAAACTCTGTAGGAATGGATTGATCTTCTGAGTCTGACCGATCACTTTCTTCAAAAATTCCAAACTTGATTAAGGGGAATTTTCCTTCAAAAAAAAAATTTCCTCCTCTTTTCTGCTTCATTAACCCAAATGCACTTGGACCAACTGATTTAAGATCCAAAGTCGCGTTCCCTCTCTGCAGCTCAGGATGCATGACGTTGAAGATGATCTGAAGAAATCTTGGGTACATCAAAAACATATCTCTCTTGTTCCCTTCAAGATTCGGAATCAGTTCATGCAGTATAAACTTTGAAAAGTTGAACTCAATTCCCGAGGCCAAGGTAGCGTTGGCTCCTGTGTTGGCCAAGGAGATTTCGTTCGCACAGAATCTCCTACCAGAAATACAGCTCACAAACACATGAGCTAGATATTTCCAGCATGGAGGAAGCAGTTTCTTAATGGTAGGGGGAAATGTTTCCTCATACCCCATATGGTCTATAACATCCTGAGTTTGATGTACATTAATTTCCATAGAGTATTCTGATATGTCATCAATTTGGAGTGATTCCCGAATAATACTCTCTGACACTTGAACCTTCTTTCCTTTGATTGTGGCTTCAATGTATTTTTCATCTTTGTTATCCTTCTTCACAACTACACTTCTCCAGATGTCTTTGATTAGGCTCTGGTAAATTGCAGGGTAGGTTGTTAATGCATGGACCAAACAACATTTCTTCAGACTGTCAACAATGAACTTTAGATCATTGTGAGCTACTGGAGGATCTTCAACAAAAATAGCTGAGTTGTGAACTTTAGCAAATTCTAGATCTCCCATTTTAATCTATAAAGAAACACATGCAATCATTAGGGCAAAAAAATAATTTTAATCATACGTATTTCAACTGCTCGTGAATGAACATGAAAAAAATTGTGCAATCGCACATGAGAATGCACACAGCCGCACACGTGGATGTGTGCAGCCGCACACATTATTATATACATATGCAGCTGCACACGACCCAGCCGTACACATATATGTGTAGCCGCACACGGTTCAGCCACACACTCCGTGTGCGGCCGCACTCGCCATGTGCGGTCGCACTCACACTCGAAACACATAATCCTTCAATTAAGCACCAAATATTGATCGATTTTGCATCAAAAATGTGTTATGGGAGTCGCATTTACAAGAATTACCGGCGAGGAGCTTTGATTTCAGGTAGATTGATGAAATTTTAGGATTTTTATAGAGTGAGAGAGAGTAAGCCGTGTGCGGTTGAATCGGATTCAAATGAGAACAGTGATGGTGATCTACAAACCGCACACGGTGTATATATATATTCTCAAAAAATTTCATTTTCTCCCCCTCAACCTTTTAATAATCAAAAACTAAGCCCAAACTCAAGCTTTTCAAAAATAATCCATTTTGAGGATTAAAAATTTTAAAGTTTATTATTCTTAAAAATTTAAATCATAAAACTAAATAAAACTAAAACTAAAAAATAAAGACAAAAATAAAACAAACTTAAAAATAAAATAAAATTAAAATTAAAATTACAATATAATAGACTAAAATAAAATAAAATAAAATGGAAATACTAATAATAAAAAAAAATTTAATTTAATTTTAATCCTCTAAATTGTTTAACCTTTTGAGATGTGGGATCAAAATTGTTAGACAATCGTAGTTCATTTATTAGTTCCTTCTCCTTCATGAATAGATCTAGTCAATCACCGGTATTGTGGTCCACTTAAACACAAAAAATTTTGGCAAATTTTTTAGGAATGCTATCAGTGACAGGACAGATTGATCCTAAGTTACTAGATAAAAATTTTCTAAGGACCATTTATCTGACGACGACCAATGATATTGTTGTCCACCTAAATTAAGCAGCGAGATCTACAGACAATATGTAATTGTTCAGTTTTAGATGTACTAGACCATGTTTCCCGCTTCCTAATATACCCCAATAATCAAGAACTTCCGAGATACTCCTTACTTTAGGTGAGCAGACTATTATTCGTAGAGAGTAGGGATTGTGATTATGATTGATTATAGCTTTAGAGGGATTGAGAAGTAGAAAGTTGCATATGTTGTGTTCCAGGTCGGATTGTTAATCGCGCAAAGGAGACAGCATATGGCTAACAGATAGGAAGAATTTCAAAGAAATATATTTGTATATGTTGCAGTCCAGGTCGGATCTCTTCCAATCACGCAGAGGATACAACATATGACTAACAGAAGAAAGAAAGAAAATAATTTTCTACAGACCTACTTTATCGGAATTCCCCAGTTGCCCTATCAATACCGGAATGAAGGACAGAATCCGTACATCGAGGAAAAGTTAAACCACAGTTCTAGATACAGTTTCTCTTAATGTGACTGATCGATTCTCATGTATATCTCCCTGCTCAACCTATCCAAGCATCGTATTGTCAGGCTAAATGGAACTATCTAGGTCAAGATTTATCAAGTCTCTAGATTCCATAAGTTCATATACACCTAGTCAAGTCCGTTAAACTCCTCGTGCCTACCAGCGCATCGAACACAGATCCTAGACAATCTAGCTTTGGTACTTTACACAGACTCAGATTGTCCGTTATCACTTGGTGATATCACTTCCCAATTCATATCATAGAACACAAATATATTTTTTTTAATTTTTTTCTAATGTTTTTGGATTTTCTAATTTTCTGATGTTTTTGGATTGTTGATTTTTTAATGCTTTTTGGATTTTTTGAATTTTCTCCTCCTAAATTTGTGCATGGAAGAGAAAAGAAAAAGAAATTGCGCAAATTTAACCTAAACTAAACACTAAAAAAATTTAATCCTCAAAACGAATCATTTTCAGAAAATTAACCAGCACATCGAATCGAGCTTTGTTAAACGGCTTGGTGAACAGATCCGCTACATTATTAACAGAGCGGACTTGTTCTAGCCGAATGAGCAAGCGCTCATAACATTCTCTGATAAAATGAAATTTGATGTCGATGTGCTTGGTTTTTTAGTGTTGGACTGGGTTTTTGGCAATTTGGATCGCAGCCTCATTATCACAGAAAATAGGGGTTTCTTGGAAATTCAAACCGTAGTCCAACAACTGATGTTGGATCCAGATGACTTAAGAATAACATGCAGACGCAGCGACATACTCCGCTTCTGTTGTTGAGGTAGAAACGGTATGCTGCTTCTCGCACTGCCATGAGACCAATCTATCTCCCAAAAATTGGCATCCTCCTGAAGTCGATTTTCTATCAAGCTCACACCCGCCATAGTTGCTGTCTGGAAAAGCATAAAGGTCAAATTCTGGATTTTTCAGATACCAGAGGCCCAGTTTTGGGAAACCTTTGAAGTACCAAAAAATCTGTTTAACAGCAAATAGATTAGAAAGTTTAGGATTAGCCTAGTAGCGAGCACATTGACAGACCGCAAACATTACGTCTGGGCGACTAGCAGTCAGATACATGAGTGATCCGATCATTGATCAATAATGCATCTGATCTACGAATTCACCTTCAAGATCAAGGGTCAGAAGAGGTCTCTCCGCCATGGGTGTAAGAGCAGGTTTTGCGTCTCGGAACCCAAACTTCTCTAGCACATTGTCTACATACATTGTTTGGTGAATAAGGATTCCGGTTGAAGATTGTTGGACCTGAAGCCCCAAAAACATGGTCATTTCCCCAAGCAAACTCATCTCGAACCGCTTCTTCAACACTGCTTCGAACTCTTTGCAAAGCTATTGGCTTGTCGACCCGAAAATAATGTCGTCCACATAGATTTGAACAAGAATTTGATCCGGACCGACATGTTTGATAAATAAGGTTTGATCAATGGTGCCTCGAGAATAGCCGGGGTTGAGCAAATGATGAGTTAGGGTAGCATACCAAGCTCTAGGAGTTTGATGCATCCCATACAGAGCTTTGTCTAACTTGTATACATGGTTGGAAGCTTTGAGTTAACAAAACCGGGCGGTTGGTCAACATAAATCTCCTCCTTGACCTTGTCGTACAAGAAATCCATCTTACGTCCATTTGGTATACGGTGAAGTTCATAGAGGAAGCATATGCAAGGAAGATACGAATAGCTTCCAAGCGTTCTACCGGAGCATAAACCTCCGTATAATCAAGACCCTCAACTTGCTGAAACCCGCGAACCACTAATCTTGCCTTGTTACGCACAATTACACCTGAGTCGTCTTGCTTGTTTTGAAAGACCCATCTGGTATCGAGAGATTTCTTTCCTTTTGGCAGCTCCACCAACTTCCAAACCCCGAGCTTCTCGAATTAATTTAACTCATCATGCATGGCATCAACCCAGCTGGGCTCATTCAGATCCATTTCGACAGATTTGGGCTCTATCTGAGAAATGAAGCAAGAGTAAAGACATGTATTAACATCTCCATTCTGACTTCGTGTTTGAACACCGTCGCCCAGCTGGCCAATGACGTTGTCTATTGGATGGTCGCGCTGAATGCGTGCAGGGATCTCGTAGCTGATATCATTGACAGAGACTGGAAGATTATGGATGTTAACCGCTCCATCATTTGTTGTATGATCCACAATAGATGAACAGGGTTCGTTTGGAGGATCTACTACAAACTCTTCAGCAATGCTTTCTGGAAAGAGAAGTTTCATCAGATTTGAAGTTACAGCGGAAGTCTCTTGGTTCATGAACTCTCTTTCCACCGGAGTTAGAGGAGTAGTAGCAGCATCAGGAGAAGGTCGTTGAGGAGAAGACTCAGAAGAATCAGTGTGAACAGAGGGCACCATTGGAGGATCAGAAGAAACCAGTGGTGGTCGGTAAACAACTTCGTCTTCTTCATCTTCAATAATGATCTTCGAATTTGACGTAGATCCTGCTTGATTATCTGAGGACACATTGAATGATTTGATGACCTCTATTGTTAGTCCCCAAATATGGATCCAAATCAGTAATCAATGAAGCAAATAACAATCAAAATGGAGTGTAGAAGGAGTAGAAAAGAGATAACATCAAGCATGCACACATCTATATCATAAATGTCAGGTACACCTTGAAAAGTACACACATGTCACTGTTCAACAAAAAAAGTACATCTAACACATGACAACCCCCTTTAAATACTACCCTCACCAGCACACGAGTGTGCAGCCGTACATGCATGTGCGGCCGCACACACTGTGTGCGGCCGCACACACGTGTGTAGCTGCACACACGAGTGAGGCTGCACACATACACCAAGTCTATACCATAACACCACTACACTACATACACTGCCACCCTAATAAGATCTATACATGAATAATGCCTAACTCAAACCACAATATTATAGTCTTTCACTTAGGTACCCAAATTCGATCTTGGAATACCTTCAGTCCTTGACTGTTTATACCGAACACTAACGTTTTGCCCAAACATTCTCCCTTCTGGTCATTCTTCTCTAAAGCTTCTTCTTGAGCTTTCTTTATACTTTCCACAATTTTTGAGACAACTTTAATTCTCAATGCTATTGTCCTTTTCTTTTCAACTTTTACCTTCCTATTGAGAGCATCAGCGACGCCATTGGCTTTACCGGGGTGGTGAAGTATATCACAGTCATATTCCTTAAGCAATTCCAGCCAGTGTCATTGCCTATTCAATTCTTTCTGATTAAAGAGATACTGGAGACTCTTATGATCAGTGAAAAGTTTGCACTTCGTGCCATAGAGGTAATGCCTCCATATCTTTAGAGCGAAACCTACCGTTGCCAACTCCAATTCATGAGTGGGGTAGTTCTTTTCATACTCCTTCAGTTGTCTCAATGCATATGTTATCACTTTATCCCGCTGGGTTAGAACACAACCTAACCCAACTCCAGA